GCAATCAATATAATAAAGTATCCCCTCATACACTCTCTCTCTCTCAGACCTTCACTAACACAGTACCTCATAACATGCACATGCCCTAATTCCCTAACCAGACCCTAACCAAGTCCCTATCTGACTCACTCATCATTCACTCCCCCTTATATACCTTAGCTCCTCCCTCTGAAGTCCCACCTCCTGTCCTGCTATAGGCAGATGAAGTCCAGCCATAGCAATGACAGGCAGGTGACATCATCGCAGCTGTCACTATATATATATATTTTTCAGTGCTAGCTTCCAAGAGATTTTAAAAAGAAAAGAAAAAAACATTTGGGTCATCTTCTGTCTCCCTTGCCACAGGGGAGTGGGAAGAAGGTTTCTATTTCCTTATAACTGAAGTGGCTTAAGCAAAGTGGCAGCTTGCACAATTAACTTTTGGTTGATCCCAGAAGTAACACATACTGAAGCAGAAACAAAATACAGCACAATAAGGGATAGGCTCATTCACAATCCCCTGTATGTCATGTGGTTGCTGGGAAAAGCAGCAACCAGCCTGTCCCCAAAGAAGACCGAACTACAGGACAAATCCTGGCCTGAGCACACTCTTAGAGGAACATTCCATAAACTGTAGACCTGAAACAGCAGAGATTTAATTGTCAGTTTAGGAACTAAATTATTGCTGACTTTAAATCTGTATAGATTTTACTATGCTAGTAACATGCACACACTCTCTCTCACTTCCTCTCTCTAAAATAAAACAATTGGTGATCAAACATGAGATTGGAGATTAATAGCATATTGGCTGAACCTTAATATGCAAGATGCAAAGAAAGCCATGAATCAATCACTTTTTACAAATATCAATTCCTCTTTAATGAATCTCAAGTGGAACATTTAAAGTAAGGGAGCATATACAAATCACTCCCAATGACCTCTGTTGTTTTATGCACAGCTGCAAATCCTTGTAAGGAAGCATGTGAGAGAAACTTTTGTTGTAGGGGTAAGGTGCTGCTTATTAGCAGCCACGGGAAAGTTTGGAATCCAAAGCAGAGCTGGTAGGCCCAGTTGCCCTCACATTGTTTGCTAATGATGGAGGAGGGGAAATGAATAGAGGTTTTGGGAAGCTTAGTTCACCACTCATCTTGCTTTATGTGAAAATATCCTGAAGGGATGTGGAATCCAATAAAGCCACTTAGTATATGCATTCCCCTCATAACTTTTAATGTATGTACGTCCATGCTTACTTCCTTTCGTTATCATCTGGCAAAGCTTAGTATACCTTGTAACTCTATATTAAAGGGCTAGCTATAGGCTCAGGGTACTGGCAGAGTGTAATCTGCAGGCTCCTAACATCCCCAGGCTTACCAGTTAGGAGGGAGGGCAGCAATAGTAATGAGATCAGCTAAAACCTGCTGAAAGCTGTCTCACATTATACATTTTCCATAATGCTTGAACTCTAGAGTACTGACAGATCTTTCAAGTGATGGGTAAATCCCTGCCACCTTTATTGCTAGCTGAAAATCAAGCTTGGGTGGGGGGAATCCACAAGGGGCTGCATAACCATGGTTCTTTGGCAGCTTCTTAAGAATGGCACTGTGGTCCTTATGAATGTCAGTAATTTTGATATATGCCTCACTGGGCCTAGCAAATATGTAAGGAGCAAAGGAGACTTTAAAAGGAATGCATATCTCTGTAATTAGCTTATTTCCTTTGTCTCAACAATTTTTCTTCAGGGATATGTGCCTCAGGAGAGTTGCAAATTAAAACTCTGTTTGCCCTCCAGTGAACCATTAATAAAACAAAGCACATTCAATAGAGGATACATATGTCATAATCTATGACAAAGAGATGTCTTTTACCACTAATGAAGCACTACTTCAAAAACATGAGAAACATATTGTGTGGTTGGACCCTAAGAGAGGGCACAAGCCTCCAAAACAATATCTGTCCTTTCTAAGGAAAGAAGTGCCTTAATTCATGTTTTAGAACTTGAATAGGCCTTCCCAGGAAGGTAAAGTTGATGTGCATCTGTGAAGCAGAACAGATTGTAGATGTAAACTACTCAATTTTCAGTGTAATTAGACAAAATAGTGACGTGTGGGCTGTAGTTTTCAATGTCTTTATATCATTGCATTTTATTTATCACTGCATGGTTTTGATATGCCTTTCACAGCAACAATTCAGCTTGTGTGATTGGAGAAGGGATTCCCATTGAAATACCTTCAGACAGTTTAGCTCAAGAAAAACAAAGAGATTATTTTTTAAAAAAAATCATACCTCCATGGCTGTGTAGCTGTTTCTGATATTTAAAAAAATAAATAAATCACCTTTTGCAAAATAGTGCAGGAATGTGCACCTGTGATAGCTCTGGGGACTATTTTAGTTTGGCATTAGATAAGGGTATGTATGTGTTTTGGCTAATTGAAAGGACATGTTAAATATTTTTATACAAAACAAGTTATCAGACATCTGGATATTCTCAGTGATGAACTATTAGTCTTATTCTTGGAGCTGAAAAAGATTGTTCTCAGCTTTAGAACGGGCTGCATTTCCATGGGAAAAAGTAGTGCCTTTGATCAGCTTAAGTGATCAGTACTTGAGGATCTCTGACATAAAACTCTTTGAATATCCAGCCAAGCCATTTAGCTTCCTTTCTTTTTCATGGGTGAAGATGACTTGCTGCACACAGTCATCTACAAATTCATGTTGGTCTGCACAATGGCTTAAAAAAATACATGAATGCCTCTGCTAAACATATGCTTTAGCAACTGCCACAGCTTCATTTGTGTTCTACTTGTATGTGTATACAACAAGGACGTATACATAACCTAAAGTGGCTTTTCCATAATACATAAGCAACAAGGGTGATTCCTCTTAAGCTGTTGCTTTGCTCATCATTCATTAAAGAAACACTCTGCACTAATGTTATTTGTTGGTTTTCCTTTTTAAAAATAAACTGCTGATATAACATCTGGTTATTTTTATGTTGAAAAACTAATGTTTTTCCTCCCTTTATTCTCTTGCTATCTCCCTCCTTTTTGTTTACTTTCCAAACGGCTGCTTTCACCCCTGCTCCAACCAGCTTGACTTCCAGGTCAGTACCTTTGTCATCTTATTCTCTCACACCAGTCACTTACCAGATCTGCTTCGTCTCTAAATGCTATTTGCATTTAACTATTTGCATCATTCATCCCTAATTTATTTTCAGATTTGTTTTTGTTTAGGATGGTAGTTGTTTTCAAAGAACTTACCATCATGCCATTTTCAGATCAGAAAATAGTTTTATTTTATTTTGAAACAACAACAACAACAAAAAGCCTGATTGCTGTAAAGTGGCAAAGTAAAATTGCCAACCAGCTGGAGGGCACAACGGACTTTCTTGGGTAAGCCTTCAATAAGTCACTGTGAATTCAAATATTAAATGGTTAGTGGATATTGGATACTTGTATCTTTCCATTGTTCCCTGTAAATAAACATTGTCAAAGGTATTTCCTTCTGTGCATCCTGCAACTTACTAGTTCTCAAAGCCAGCCAGTGTGATATTGGTTATAGTTTCAGACTAGGATGGGGGAGACCTAAGTTCAAATCCTTACTCAACTGATGGGGTGGCCTTGGGACTACCATAATTTCTCAGCCAAACCTACATCATAGGGTTGTGAGGATAAATTGAGAGAAACACTGTATCTCAGTCTGAGATCATGGAAGGAAAAATGAGATGTATATATAATATATAAACAGCTAATGAAGAAGCACAAACACATTTCAGGAGTTGGGAACCATAATTACATGATTGTGGAATTACTATGTCAATGTAGATTTTTAAAAGATAGGACTATATGCTAAGTACCCTATATATTGTCATGCCTGGAATAACAAAGACTGAATGAACATGAGAAATGTAAGGTGTAGAATCAAGGATTTTAAGACCAAACATATATTGGCCTAAATCATCTTGCATAGCTGCACAAATGGCGTCAAAATGATCAGTATGCAATTGATAATATTTATGCTAATTTTGTAATTTGGGGCAATATGTCTTCAAAAGTTAGGCTTTTGTTCCATGTCACCATAACATGGTGTTTGGGACCTTGTTTGCTGAGGATCGAGCTGCAAATAGAAATCTGGGATATTTCCTGATTACAGTATGGATATCAGCCAAGCTACAAAACAGGCAAAAGTGTTTCTAACAGAGATAAAGAAAAACAAATACATTATGGATGTAGATAATCAAATGCATGAAGAATATATGAAGGTAGTAAAATAAGTAGCAAAAGGGAATACAGATATATCAGATAAGTGACCAAGTTAAAGAAGAACATTTTTGAAAAAAATTGATGGCAACTATGAACATAATTTAGAACATACTGTATAAGATTTCTAACTGTTGTAATGACAACACTAGTAACGATAATAATATAATGTTCCAAAATATTTTATTATCTTTTTTAAAAACAATTGCTATTAGTTTCCTGATTTGCTTCCAAGAATCAGTGACTTTGCAAACATGTCATCTCACTCATACATTTTAAAGAGTTGATTCCTAATTTTTAGACCTGGCCCTTTGGACAACCACCAAACTCTAGCGGTGCTGAGAAATAAGAAATATAATAGTGGTTGTTGTGGGTTTTTCGGGCTCTTTGGCTGTGTTCTGAAGGTTGTTCTTCCTAACGTTTCACCAGTCTCTGTGGCCGGCATCTTCAGAGGACAGCACTCTGTGCTCTGGATGTGCTGTCCTCTGAAGATGCCGGCTACAGATACTGGTGAAACAACCTTCAGAACATGGCCAAAGATCCCAAAAAACCCACAACAACCATTAGATCCTGGCTGTGAAAGCCTTCGCGAATATATATAATAATAGTGTTCTATCAGGTCAGTTCTGTCTTAAGGTGATCCTTCTCAGGGTTTTCTAGGTCTAAAGTACTCAGACATAGTTTTTCAGTCATTTCCTCCAAAGTGTGCTGGAGGTCATCTTGTCTACTCCTCTGTAAAGTGCAGGATTTAAAATGCAGAAAGCAGTACAACAGGAGTGGGCAATGTCTGGAGAAGGGGGAAAACGTAGCATTTGTGCTGCCATGAAGGATCATACTGCTGTCCTGCCACAGTACTAGTTCTTGCTGTCAAAGTTCTCACCTACCTTTTTTTCAATGAGATATAGTTCTTTTTTTGGGGGGGGGTGTTGTACATCGGGTTCAGTGCCAGTAGTGGATAAGATGGAAAAAAATAGTTGTTGTGACCATTTTAAAAAAACAAATATGGTCCCTTATCAACCAAACAGTGGACTTTTCTTTCAACAGCAATCTTAGAATTGTAGAGTTGGAAGTGATCATGGAGTCCATTCCCTCTAAGGGAGGCCCAGTAGGGAATCCAATTCTCAACCTCTGGCTCTGCAGCCACAAATCTAAATCACTGAGCTATTTGGCAGTTCTACATCTCTCGTTATTGGGAACAAGTTAAAAGAGGCAGGGTTTTTTTCTTTTCTTCTCAGATTATTCACAATGGAATACATACAGTAAGACTCAAGATGTGTGTCTTTGAAAGATATACACAAATGTTTTAAAAACAGGGATATGAAGAGTACTCAGTACATTTTTAATGCTCCTTTATTTTGGCTGTCTCAATTTGACAGGCTACCTCAATGATGATTTTGAAAACCTGCTGAGATTCCTTGCCTCCAATTGAGTGCAAGAGAAAGAGTTGTGTTTTTCCCCCATTTAAGGTTGAAACATAAATACCTTTCTTAAAGAATAAACTACCACCTTGTAGTCCTTTTGTCAAACAGGTGATAACACCAGGAATCTCTGATTGATTTCTTCCCAAGGGCTTGTATTCCTTACCTATGGAACAACAAAGACAATTCTATGTCGTCTTTTTCATGATAGCTTTTCAGATACTTGAAGATTGTTATTGTGTCTTCTCAGGGCTTAAACATACTCTGCATTTTCAATAATGCCTGTTAGGATTTGGTTTACTGACTACTCACCATCTTGGTTGCCCTCCTCTGGACATACTTCAATTTTTCAGTAGCGTCTCATGTCTCCTATTAGGTCCTGCCACTCAACTTCAACAACTTCTCTTAAATATCTCTAGCAGAGGAAGAAAGGGCTATGCAAGATCAGTCACCCAGTGCTCTTTCCTCTCTTTCTCAATTCCTTCGTCTCCCCTTCTTCCTTCATTTCCTCCTTCTTTTCTTTCAAAGCATGTTTTGATGATTATGGGCATTAAAGAAAAATAGAAACACAGAAGGATTAATAGAACCTGTACATCAACTTCATAATTTGAGCTAATGCATATTTTATCAATGTATATTACAGATGTGTTCATTTTTTCCTTCAAGGGAGGGGGCTTTTCAAGTCTGTTTCTAAGCTAGTTATTTTATTCCATCAGATTGCTCATTCTTACCTGGAGCAGCTGTCTTTTGTTGTCAGAAATATCTAGACAAAAGCATGCCTTTTCACAAATCATGGAGACTTTTTTAAAAAAATCTTTGGAGTGATATAAAAGAAAGCATCTATCTTTCTGCATATGTTTCCCAGGTGGATATTTCTGATTATCTAATGTTTTTATTCTCTGGCAAAGGTCCAAGTATCAGTTGGGCCTAGGAGTACATTTATTTTATTTACAGCTTTATCACAATTCCCAGTCTGCATTTGTATGAATGCAAAAATCTGAAATTTCTCAGTATAAGAGAAAACTGATACATGGATGAGCACACATGCGCGCGCACACACACACATAGAGGCAGAATGATATTTGTACAGGCTGTGCTGACTTCATATAATCATTTGGAAACCGCTTGTGTGTTTCACTGTGTCCTTCTCTTTTACTGGCACTTATTGGCTATTCACCAATAGTTGAGTTCTGTGGTGTTAAATTTTATGTGCAACAAAAGATAGCTGAAGATGCATGGCCCTTGAAATGCTCTCAGACATAAGTGTTCCATATATTTTTAGCTAACTTTTATAATGTAATGGCTTCATAGCACATCTCTGACACCCATATCTTTTTACTTAGTGGAAAGAACATTTAGTATTCTGAACGCAGAAAGAACGTGTGAAAAGAGTGGATGAAATGGATTAATAAATTAGATAAGAGTGCTAAGGAAAGGAAGCTTGTGTCTGACTGCTTTTAGCAGTAATAGCAGCCCATTATAAGGAACACATTCTTTGCATATGTAGTAGCAATATTGCTAGTAGCCCTAATTATCACACCCAAGTAATCGAATTTGGCTACTCACAAAGCTTGGATGTATTGCAAAGCTAGCACTGTTTATTTCGACGTGCTGTTTTCTAGATTCCACATATATGTGCTCAGGAATCAGTGGACTTGGTGCATGAATACTTAAAAAAATCAGGCCCATACTGTTGGGGAACCTCTCATTAACTGCTGTGACTACAAGAGCAAGCAACCTTTTCCTTGTTGAATAATTTATGCAAGGGCTGCAAAACTTTTCCAAGCCATGATTAAACAAGATATTTAGTTCCTTCCTAAAGCCCACATCAAAAGAGAGATGATCTTTATAAGAGCCTGATGTATCTTCTAGATTAGAATTTGTATTGTGCTGGAAGATAGGAGGGGTATAAAAAGTAATTTTTCAATATATAAAACTCATACACATTTTCTCTTAGGGCTAAATGTCATTTTAGTTTTAACCAGAGCTGCTGCTGTTGTTATGTGTCATCTATTTGTCTCCAATGTATGGTGACCCTATGAATGAATAACCGCTAAAATGTTCTATCGTTAACAACCCTGCTCAGCTCTTGTAAACTCAAGCTTGAGGCTTCCTTTTTGGAGTCAATCCATTTCCTATTTGGTCTTCTTATTTTCCTGCTGCTTTCAACTTTTCCTAATGTTACTGTCTTTTCCAGTGAGTCTTCTTATGATGTGTTCAAAGTGCAGCAGCCTCACTTTTTTCATTTTGCTTCCAGAAAAAGTTCAGGCTTGATTTGAGATTACCGTCCACTCCTGTTGAGTCTTTAAGAGAAGAGCATTCTGTAACTGGGGTGCTATAGCTAAAAAAGCCCTCTCCTGTGTCTTCGCATAATAATCATTCTCAATAACAGGACATGGAGAAGGCCTCCTTCCCTCCCTCCCTGC